AGGCACTGAGCCCAACCTTTGTTTTTCATAGGAGCATTTTGTCCATTTGTACTTTAGAAAAAAATATATTTTCAAATTGTATACATCTTTTAAAAAAGTTTTGGAGGTCTTGGGTGGTGCCTGTGGCTCACAGAGTAGGGCACTGGCCCCATATACTGGGGGTGGTGGGTTCAAATGCAGTCCTGGCCAAAACTGCAAAAAAAAAAAAAAGTTTCTGAGGTCCAGCAAAGTGTTCTACTAATTTCGAGTGTACACCTTAATGAATATTTGCCTAAGTAGACACTCTGGAAACTACCATTCAGATCAAGATATAGATCTTTTTTAGCAGCCCAGAAATTTCCCTGTGTTCCTTTGCAGTCGATATGAGGTCTTCTGGGGCAGGGTTTCTCAGCTTTGGCACTATTAACATTTTGTGTTGAGTAATTCTTTGTTGTGCGTGTGTGTTCCATGCATTGTAAGATGCACCCATCCCTGGACTCTACCCAGTAGACACTAATAGCAAACTCCCACTACCACCCCTAAAGTAGTGTTAAAACCAAAATATTTTTAGACACTTCCTAACGTTCCACAGAGCAAAATTGCCCTCGGTTGATAAGCACTGCCCTGGAGGTAAGAATTCTTCTGACGTATCGTATCATTATACACTAGTTCTGCCTGTTCTTGAGCTTATTGTTGATAAAATAATAAGGTACAGAATCTCACTTTATCACCCTGGGTAAAGTACTGTGGTCTCATAGCTCAGAGCAACCTCAAACTCTTGGGCTTAAGCCATCATGTTGCCTCAGCCCCCCAGATAGCTAGGACTAGTCACTTACCACAATGCCTGGCTATTTTTTTTAAAGACAGGGTCTCGCTTTTGCTCAGTCTGGTCTTGAACTCCTGAGCTCAAGCAATCCCCCCACCTTGGCCTACCAAAGTGCTGGGATTATAGGCATGAACCACTGCACCCAACTTGGCAATGTTTAAAATTTTTTTTTTAACTATATAAACATTATTTTATATAGTCAATGGTCATATTTTTACCTAAGTATTAATCTCTTTCTTTCACTTCATCTTTATTGAACCTCAAACCTTCTTATTGAGATTAACTTCCTGTTGCCTGATGTACATCCTTTAGTGAATTCTGCTGATGGCAAATTCACTGAATTTGAATTCACTGAATTTTGTCTGAATATGCCTTTATTTCTCCTGCATTCTTTTTTTTTGAGACAGAGTCTCACTATGTCACCTTCAGTAGAGTGCCTTGATGTCACAGCTCACAGCAACCTCAAACTCTTGGGCTTAAGGGATTTTCTTGCCTCAGCCTCCCAAGTAGCTGGGACTACAGGCACCTGCTGCAACACCTGGCTATTTTTTAGAGATGGGGTCTTGCTCTTGCTCAGGCTGGTCTTGAACCTGTGAGCTTGGGCAATCCACCCACCTTGGGCTCCTAAGTGCTGGGATTACAGGCGTGAACCACTGTGACCGGCCCACTCCTGTATTCTTTTAAAAATTTTAAAACAATAAGGCCAGGCGAGGTGGCTTAAACCTGTAATCCCTGAACTTTGGGAGGCTGAGGTGGAAGGATTGCTTGATACCAAGAGTTTTAGACCAGCCTGGACAACATATCAAGACCTTGTCTCTCTAAAAAAAAAAAAAAAATTTAGCCAAGCATGGTGGTATGTGCCCATAGTTCCAGCTACTCAGCAGGCTGAGGTGAGATGATCACCTGGGCCCAGGAGTTCAATGCTACAGTGAACCGTGATTGTGCCACTGCACTCTAGCTTAGAAAAGTTAAAAATATAGTATTTTTTTCCTTCAGTCATTTGAGAATAAGTTGACAAATGATACCCCACTACCCCTGGATTTCAGAGTGTATTTTCTTACACAAAAGGACAAAAATATAACCATCGTCATCACTGAATTAGTATTGGTGCACAGCTAACATCTGATCCTCAGGCCCCATTCAAAGATCACTGATTTTCCCAGCAATGTTCCCTATACTGAAAGGGTCAGGTCAAAATCGCTCACTGACTTTTTTTTGTCTAGTGCATGCCATCTCCTGCAGGCCTCAGCTTTTCCTTTGACCATCATGACCCAGACACTTTTGTGGGATGTGCCTGAGTTTGGATCTGCCTGACGTTTCCTCATGATGAGATTGAGGTCATTTTGTCCTGTCTGGGGGGCGGCTGACTCTGGTTTGCTCCATACTCATGGTGTTTATTTCAACCACTTGAATAGGGTGATGCTGCTAAGGTTCCCCGTGTGAAGTCATCACTTGTCCCTTTGTCATAAGTATCTTGTGGCAAGGTACTTTGGAACTAATTAATATCCTGTTCCTCATCAAGCTTTCAATTTCTTCATTTATTTATGTTAGTATGGACTCATGGTTTCTTGTTCAATGGGCTGTAATCTGTTACTATCATTATTTATGGTGAAACTCAACATTTGTCAACTTGACTGATGGAATGCCCTTCAAGAAAGCTTCTGTGTCCCTTTGACATGTCCCCATCATTCTTGGAGCTCCCTTCCTTGTTTTCTGGTATAAGACGTCTCAGGTTCATCCTGAACTCTCCCTGCTCAAGTCCTGGCATCAGCCATTTCTCCAGCAAGCTTCATTCTTTTCTGTGGAGAATGGCGCTCTGAAGCTAAGCTCTTGGCACCAGCTGTGCTCATTATGGTTGGAGGGTCTCGCCATGCCCAGGATGAGTTCCGGGTTCCCAGTGGCCCCAATAAACTTGGCCTCAGCTAAGCTTGAGTTCCAGGCCCACCCCTATTTGAAGAGGGGTGGTGTGTGGGTCTTGCAGGATTCAGTCTCACCAGCGACATGGAAAGGGTAGTCCGCAGGAAAGAAAGGGGGTGACGAAACAGTAGGTACCTACTGTAACAAAGAAGTGTTTAGTTACAAGCTGTGGTAACTGCCAAGAGAAGAGGATGGCGCTCAAGAGGACCACAGTGGGCCCTCGCTCCGCCTGAGGCTGGGGGAGGCCTGTGAGAGGAGCTTCGGGCAAGCAGAGGCCTGGAGCAAAGGAGCCCCGAGGGGCAAGAAGGCGTGGCAGGACAGGGCAGGGCAGGAAAGGGAGAGGAAATGGCGGACCCTGGGGGGCAGCTTGCCCAGGGCTGGAAGGGGGCTGGAGAGGCCAGAGATGTGAGTAAGAGGAAAGGAGTGGGAGATAAGGATGGGCCTGGAGGGCGCTGTGCTCCAGCAAGGATGCCAGCTTCATGCTCAAGGAAATCGGGAGCCACAGCAGGTTTTAGGGAGGGGAGGTGAC